GAGAGTTTCCTCTCTCTATTGTAGGGTACAAATGGAATATAGGGAGGTGGGGTAGAATTGTTAACCCTATACCTTTGCCATGTTAAGATCTTTTAATTATAGGTCAGCAAAGGTGGGATAAATTGAATGTGGCTCCTTTTTTTGCCTAACTGCTTAATTGCAGTTTCTTCTGTTTTGTATTCAAGGCCAAGAGGTACCTGCTTTTGTAATATATTTCCAACTATATCTCCTATTCCACTAATATATGCATAGCAAGGCTCCGCTAATGTTTTCTGTGCATGTCTCTTGCACTTTTTCTGCATATCTTGTTCATGATCTTTTTGTTATCTTTCAGTAGTTAAAGGATTCCAATTCAGCATGTCAGTTTATGAGTACAATGCTTCTTGATTAATGTCACCCCTTTTATCAGTCTGCCTTTTGGGCCCTTACACTCTTTCACCTTCCTCCTTCCCCTTGTCTGAAATGACTTTGACCACTGGACCTCACCTCACGGCACTGTGGCTCAGAGATAATGATGTCTTTGTCACCCCTGTCACCACCACACCCAGTGACCTCTTGTTTTCATCCTGAGCATCTAGATGCAGTATTTAACACTAGTGGCCACACCTTCGTCTTTAAAATTCTCCAAACAGTGAATTCATGGACACTCACTGTGACAGGTTTTATCAGATCTTTTCAGTTATTTCTTTGTTCCCATGTCTGTCTCACCCTTAAGTGTAGTTACCGAGACTTCTTATGTCAGAACTCTTTTCTCTCCTTAGTTTATATATTCTCTTTATATAGTTTTACAAAACAATTCTCATTGGGTCTTTACCAAGTCCCAGACTCTCTAGGAAAGAAAAGAATACTCATGTATACTTCATGTTTTAGATCACCATGTAATCTTGGTAACTATTTTAAAGGTTCTATAATGGTATGTTAAGTGGCGATTCCATAATTAGCTTGACCATTTTTCTGTTCGAGTTCTTGTCTTGGAATTCCAGCTACAGTTTACAATTCTATACATGTTGATAGAGTTTGAAGTTTGGTGGGATGGTAAGGGAAGGGACATTTTTCCCTGTTCGATTAGTTCAGAACTGCCCCATGAAGAGAAGAAGACTCAGCAGAATCAGTGGCAGAGCTTTCACACTTTCTTGTTTTGAACCAGCTAAGCAGCCCACTGCCACTACCCAAGTTCTAGGAAGCTTGTTAACTGTGGTACAAATGGCTGGAAAAGCCTCCGAAATGTTCCCCTCCCCTCCCTCTACCACATCCATTGGTTCCCTGACCCAACCAGCTCTTATAGAGGAGAGGTGGTTCTTGTGTCCCTAAGGCCCAGAAATAGACTAAGGGTTTTCATGCTCTTATGTGTCTATGTAAGTATGAAGAATAGAGTGACCATTTATCAAAGCAGGCTTTTAAACACACCATGAACCTGTAGTTCTCCATACCTACTACCTACTGAGGAAAGTCTCTTCCTGTCTTAGGTAGCAGCTCAGGTTTTCTTCTGAGAAACTTGCTTATGGCATTAATTCTCTAGAAGTTATCCTGAGAATCAGCTGCTTGTTTTATTCTAAATTCTTGTGCTACTCTTCTCTAAAAAAACGTAAGAGCCCAAGGCAGAGCATCTGGGTACATGAATTCCTGTTTTCCCTACCTGAATATATCCAACAGTGTGCTATCTGTGGTCTGCTCTAGTCCTGAGCCCTTTCTCCTCCCTAACAGAGGGTGACCCTGGCTGTTCATGAAGCCCAGTGAGTCTGTGATTGTTATGGGAACAACACTGATGTATTTGGTCCCTGACGGGGTGTGATTTCTGTCTGCTAACTACCTGGTTTTCAGCCATTTCTAGTAGCATATTGGTGAATTAGAGAACATAATTTGCAGCTATTAGCTGACTCCTGCTTTAAATACTTTCCATTCTTCCTATTCTGAAGGTGCATTCTCCCCATCTAAGATGAGAAGGTTCTATTTCATCCCAAATGTGCACGAAGAACATACAAAGTCAGTAGGGGTAAAACAAAGAAATAAGGAAACACTATGTCTGAAATGATAGGGTGGTAAGTAGAAAACAGGTTTTTCTTTTAATAAGTTTTTTATTGGAAAATACCATACAGAGGGGGTTACAATTACATGAGCAAGGTAATGAGTACATTTCTTATCAAGCATTGTTGCCTACTCCTTTGTTTTGTTTTGGTTTTTGGGGCGAGGGTCCAGTCGTGAGGCCTGAACTCTGGGCCTGGGCACTGTCCCTCTGCTCTTCAGCTCAAGGCTAGCGCTGTACCACTTGAGCCACAGCGCCACTTCCGGCTTTCTTCTCAGGCATGCAAGGCAAGCGCTCTACCACTGAGCCACCTTCCCAGCCCCGAAAACAGAGTCTTGGTAGTATGGTCTTATCCCTTAGCAAGGAGAGTGAACCATGATAAGGTGAGAAGAACCAACATATTCCTAGGACTCAAAAACAGCTCGAGAAAGTTCTCAGTTGAGTACTACTGTCATTCTTCCTGATCCCAGGAAGAAGAGCCTTGAGAGTGTGAAAGATAGAACAAGACCAATATCAGGAAGATACTATCTCAGAAACAAAAGTGTTTTCAAGCACAGAACTTAATGCTATAACAAATTTACTTTTTAAATAAAAAGCTCAGACTTAGAGACAATAAAATGAGATAAAATAGGAAATGGGAAATTAAGGGCATAAGAATGAGAACAAAACAACCCCAGTCCAAAAAAATAAATTTAAAATTATAAAGACACAGTGACCTAAAAATTTAATTACTGGCATAGGGAAAGTCATTAGAAATTATAAGAAAACAAAGGAAAGACAAAATAAATACACACACAGGGGGAAAAGGCAGAAAGAAACCGGTGAAAGTATCTTAAATCAACTTATGACTCATCCAAGAAGCACATAATTGATTTTCTTAAGGAAAAAAAAAACCTATGCTAAAGAAAAAAATATATTGAAAACATAGAAGAAAAGTTTTCTCAAGCTAAGTTGCTAGAAGGAAATAGCATAGGCAGCATTTTGAAAGAGAAGAATAGTACTTCTTACAAGGAAATATGGAACTAGAGTAAGTTTAGTAATTCTGTTATTTCCCTTCAACTTTCACTTTTTTTTTTTTTTTTCCTTGGGAAAAGGTCTTGACTTGAAATCTTTCTGACACAGCCTCCCAAGTACCAGGGTTACTGGTATGTGCCCCTACACCTATGTTTTATTTTAAGTACAAAGCTAAGTTATATTCTTTTTGTTTAAAGCATTTAAAATATTACTAGCTGTTCCACACATAGGATATGTTTTGACTTTTCTTTGGAGTATAAGGCACAGTTTTGAAATCTGAAAATCTTGATCTAAAAATAAAAGGTTTTCAAAAAGTATGTGAATCAATAAAAGTCATCCCCCCAGCCAGAACTCTGATCTGACAGGTTCCACCTGGCATTGACCCACCCATGACCCAACGTACTCCTGTAGGTATCAGTGTAGCACCTCCACAAGCGGCCCCTCCAGTTAGTTTCTCATCTTTGAAGTTACTTCACAGAGTAGTGTTTTTCACTTTAGGACTACCCATCTCCCAGCTTTTGGGAAGTAAGTGGGGAGATTATTCATTTTCAGTAGTAATACTCATTTTTCATCTTTTTTTTCCCTGGTAGCATTAATGAGAGGCATAAAGCACATCATTGACTTCATTATGCACATCCTAAGGAGAAAAAGCCACTGGGGAAATGTTATTTCACAAAACAGTAGACTGAAGAAAAAAAGATTTGCTCAACATTATTTTTAAAGACTTAACAGTACTGATCCCTGTTCCTGTTGTTTTCAGCTGAAGTATGTTGATCCTGAAATTCCCCCCTTCCCTCCCTACACATGTACATACACATATACATGCATACATCTTTCTATATTCTTGATTCTGAGTAATTTTAGCTACCTTGGAAGAGTATATTTTCTTAATTAAACTAATATATGAGAGCATATAAGTGGATTTTACTTCAGGATTTGAATAATTTTATGCATTTCTTCATCCTTGATAAATGCAAAATAGTCTTAATAGTACAGACACTTTGACCTACTAGGAATTTTAAATAGGTACAACAGCTATTTGAAAATAATGGAGGATTAAAGTATTTGATCTTTCTATAAATAAGTAATAGATGGTTGCATACATTTTGTTTATATGTCCAAGGAGTCAACAAATGAAAATTAAACGATAACAATTAATTATTGCTCAAAAGATAATATTGACCAAGGTTGTGGTTAGCTGATGCCCACAATTCAATTAAATGCTCATTTATTTCCAACACAGGAATGACATTAATGCCAAAGGAACCAAGCCAGCGTCTATTTTTATTCAGTATGAAGGTGGTATTTTATGTTGCTTGTAACTAAGAGACATTTCAGCCTTATGATTTAAAAAAAAAAAAAAAAAACGCTCTTTGTAAGGCACCACAAAGAGTCAATTATTGGAATTTTGTAATTCTCTGTCCCTTGATATACTTGCTGTGATACAGTACTTCCTGATTCTCCCAACCAAAGTATCATGAGTATTCCAGGACTGTTCACTCTAAAACTTACTCCAAATGAAGTCCCTTTTTCTCGAAAGAATATCAGCATTATATATTTAAACTCAGTGAAGAGTTTGTTTTAAAGATTCTTAATGTTCTAGACAACAGCTCAGCAGGAAAAGGTTAAATCTCTTTCTTTGTTGTCCAGCCTTTGGCAGGGAAGGGAGGGGCGGAGGATGGGCGGGTGTTCAGTTGTGCAAGGTCTGGGTCCATGACCTGCCTACTTCTAGAATGGAACGTGGTGTTCTAGAAAGATCTCCATGTGATTGTTTGGATAGATTTTGATTGTGTGCCTTCAAAATTGCTGTAATTTAGACTGTAGTTTTATTAAAAATAGACTTTACTAAGACTGCCATATTTAACTGTGGTAGAATCCTCATGACAGTTTTCTTAATTTGTTCTTTTAAAGAATTGTTTTGTATATAATTTTATCAATGAGTTTCTTTTTCTTTTTCCAACAGAAATTCTAGAGGCTGGTGTTAAAGGAGCTTCAGAATCCCTTAAAGGTGTGAAACGGAAAAAGCTTGTCACTGAGAATCACCTGAAGAAAATACCAAAATCCCCCCTAAGAAATCCTCTTCAGGCCAAACATAAACAGAACACAGAGGACTCTTCTTTCACTGTTCCTCAGAGTGCTTCAGAGTCTCACAGGAGGCATGGCTATATTCCTGCAAAAACTGGGAAGCAATTTGCCAAACAGAATGGAGAGACACCTGGGATAGCTGCCGAGGCCTCAAAATCGGAAGACTCTATCTCCCCCAAAAAGCCCTTGTTCCTGCAGCACCCTTCAGAGCTGCGGAGATGGAGGTCAGAAGGCTCCGACCCCGCTGGGCTCAGTGTCCTTCATGACAACCAGGACTCGCCTGGCAAACCCAGGACTGACAACAGTGAATGTATCCCTCCTCATGGAAGTACCGCGCCCCCCTCCCCCCCCTTGTATACAAATACCGCCTTTGATGTCTTACTGAAAGCAATGGAGCCAGAACTGAGTACCTTGTCACAAAAGGGCTCATCTTGTGCAATTAAGACAGAAAAACTGAGACCAAATAAAACTGTACGATCCCCTCCTAAGTTAAAAAACACGTCTGTGGATGCCCCAACTCAGCCTACGGAAGACTCGGTGGCAGAATCACAGAGATCACCTTGTACCTCATCCACTGTACATGGGGCTGCTGCCCGGAAGAATGAGCAAGCATCGGTTCAGCCCGTCTCTCACTCATATAACCCATACGGACACTTGGTTTCCAAACCTAACCAACACAGTCAGCAGCTTCCATGTCAAGCAGGCTTCACAGCATCGCTGGCAAATCTGCAAACTCAAGACATCACCAGACTTGAACAGGTTTATGATACAGCAGTCACATCCACCACAGGTCTCACTTCACCTTCCAACAGAACTCAGGTTACTCTTCCAAACCAGCAAGTGGATTCTGCTTTACCTTTGTCCATAAGTCCAGCCAATCCCACCCAGTCTCCCCCCATGCCAATAAATAATTCAACTCACGTTGCCTCTGTAGTCAATCAAAGCGTAGAACAAATGTGCAATCTTCTTCTGAGAGATCAGAAGCCAAAAAAACAAGGAAAATATATCTGTGAGTATTGCAATAGAGCTTGTGCAAAGCCTAGTGTGCTTTTAAAGCACATCCGCTCCCACACTGGAGAGCGGCCCTACCCTTGTGTCACTTGTGGATTCTCATTTAAGACTAAAAGTAATCTGTACAAGCACAAAAAATCCCACGCACATACTATCAAACTGGGTCTTGTGTTACAACCAGATGCTGGTGGTTTGTTCTTATCCCAAGAATCTCCCAAAGCACTTAGCGTGCACTCAGACGTAGAAGACAGTGGGGAGAGTGATGAGGAGGGCCCTGCCGATGGGAGACTGAATGACCCTGGCACCATGGAGCTACAGCCTGGGCAAATAATGAAGAAGACATCAAATTCTGAAGCTCTCCCCAAACCGGGTTCCATTTCAGGCAATCCAGATCATGTGGCAGGTGACTTTTTGCCACAGGACAGACCTTCAGAATCACAAGGCCTGACAGAGTTACCAAAAGTTGTGGTGCATCCTGTCAGCATGTCCCCATTAAGAACTGACAGTCCCAAGGTGATCAATCCCAAGTCTGAACTTCCTAATGCTCAAAGACAGAAGGACCTGGTCCAGGTCACAAGTGTATTGACACACCCAGCCAGTGTGTCCTCCCTAGAGACTGAGGAGAAGTCTCATCAGAAAGGTGACCCGAGTCTACCAGAAGGGAAACAAGATTGCCATGGAGGGACTGTCCATGCCCAGCTACAAAGGCAGCAGGCAACTGATTACTCCCAAGAGCAGCAAGGAAAACTCCTAAGTCCTCGGAGTTTAGGAAGTACAGATTCTGGCTACTTTTCACGATCAGAAAGTGCTGATCAAGCAGTGAGTCCACCAACTCCTTTTGCCAGAACTTTCTTACCCACAGAACCAGACTCAACTAAGAATAACGGACCCCCTGCCCCTCGAATCAGTGCACCAGCACCCCCTGCCTTGCCATTGGGGGAGAAGCCATTGCTCTTAGCAGGCCAGATGCCCCCACCCTTGGCGACAAAAACCCTGGAGGAGAGGATCTCAAAGCTTATCTCTGACAATGAAGCCTTGGTAGATGATAAACAACTGGACAGTGTAAAGCCACGGAGAACCTCTCTGTCCAGACGAGGAAGCATCGATTCCCCCAAATCATACATATTTAAAGATTCGTTCCAGTTTGACCTGAAACCAATGGGGCGGAGGACAAGTTCAAGCTCTGATATACCAAAGTCCCCATTCACCCCCACTGAGAAGTCCAAACAAGTGTTCCTCCTGTCGGTCCCTTCCCTCGACTGCCTGCCTATCACAAGAAGTAACTCCATGCCTACCACAGGATATTCAGCAGTCCCTGCAAATATAATTCCTCCCCCTCACCCGCTAAGAGGAAGCCAGTCATTTGATGACAAAATTGGCACTTTGTATGATGATGTCTTCGTATCAGGACCCAACACATCAGTGCCCCCAAGTGGTCATCCCCGGCCGCTGGTCAGGCAGGCAGCAGTGGAAGACTCTTCAGCCAATGAGAATCATGTTGTTGGCCCTGGACAGTCCTTGGATGAGGGCTGTCAAGGCTGCCCCACCGCCAGCGAGCCCGCAGCAGCCCGGAGCAAGGCTGTGGCCCCCGGCTCTCAGCTGGAAAAAAAGAAATCCCATCAGGGGCGAGGGACCATGTTTGAGTGTGAAACCTGTAGAAACAGGTACAGGAAACTGGAGAATTTCGAAAACCATAAGAAATTTTACTGTTCAGAATTACATGGGCCCAAAACCAAGGTAACCGCGAGAGAGCCCGAGCAGAGCCCTGTGCCTGGCGGGCCACAGCCCCAGGTTCTGCACTACAGAGTTGCTGGCTCGACGGGCGTGTGGGAGCAGACACCCCAGATAAGGAAAAGGAGGAAAATGAAAAGCGCTGGGGATGATGAGGAGCTTCAGCCCAATGAGAGCGGACCGTCTCCAAAGAGCTCTGAAGCCCTCCAGCCTCAGAATGCCCTGGGTCTCACCCCAGGCCTGTCAAAACACGGGCCTGCCATGACCGGAGAGCAACTCAGGAGCACACAGCTGAACACCTCCCAGGTTCAGCTCACCACCCAGGCCCTTGAGCAGGCTCTAGACCCAAAGCTGTCCACCATCATGGAGCAGCCAATGACGTCAGCTGCCGTGGACAAGGTGGAGGTGAAGAGACAAGGGACCGGCATCTCCGTCATCCAGCACACCAACTCCCTGAGCAGACCCAACTCCTTTGACAAGCTGGAACCATTGGAAACTGGCTCCATGGTTCCTTTCCAAGAGCTGAGTAGAGCTGGGAAACCTGGCTCTCTGAAAGTGAGGGGGATCCCCCCAGAGGAAGCTCATCCTTCTCGAGACACGTCACATCCTCACCAGCCTGCTTCATCAGACACACTCAGGGGAGAGCTGCAGGAAAGCTCCAGAAAGACTGCAAGTGAGCGACACGTGTTGGGACAGCCCTCGAGACTTGTCCGGCAACATAATATCCAAGTTCCAGAAATTCTGGTCACCGAGGAGCCAGATCGGGACCTGGACACTCAGTGTCATGATGAAGAAAAATCTGAGAAGTTCAGTTGGCCTCAGCGCAGTGAAACTTTGTCCAAGTTGCCAACAGAGAAACTGCCACCCAAGAAGAAGAGGCTCCGTCTGGCCGAGATAGAGCATTCCTCCACCGAGTCAAGTTTCGACTCTACTCTCTCCCGGAGTCTAAGCAGGGAGAGCAGCTTATCACACGCTTCAAGTTTCTCAGCCTCCTTAGACTTAGAAGACGTTTCTAAAACGGAGGCCACCCCCAAAATCGATTTTCCAAATAAAGCAGAGTTTCTTTTGATTCCACCTGGCTCAAATACACTGAATGTCCCTGGAAGTCACCGGGAGATGAGGCGGGCTGCATCAGAACAGATCAATTATATGCCGACGCTGATGGAGGTCTCTGATTTCAGAAGTAAGTCATTCGACTGTGGGAGTGTGACCCTAGCCCCTTCAACACTGCTTGTGGAGTCCCAGCCTTCCACTTCCCCTTCTGTGGCTGGGGTCCCTGGACATGTGCCTCTCTTAGAAAGAAGGCGGGGCCCGCTGATCCGGCAGATATCTTTAAACATTGCACCAGAGGGTCAGCTTTCTCCTGTCAACCTACCATCCTTCCAAAACCTTGCCCTTCCCAATGTGACTGGGGTGCCCTGTCAAGGTCTGCCCCTCCCTAACACTTCTTCGGCTGAGTTCCCCACTAATACTCTGCACTCCCAGATTCAGGCTGAGGATCTGCCGGCACACACATTGAATTCTAACTCGACTGCCATCTTTCCAGTTCAGCAGCTTTTTAGTATCAATGTGCTAAATCAGACCCATGTACCCCTTAGCCAGCAACACACACAGTTACCTCCACCAGTGTTTGCAAAAGAGGACAAAACGGACGTGTATCCCACCATACACGTGTCTTCTACCAGCAAGGACTGCTTTGCTCCCAAGTACCAACTTCAGTGTCAGGCTTTCACTTCAGGCCAGGCTTCTTGTTCTAATCCTACACATCCTTTGCCTAGTCAAGTTCTTCCAGATGCAGATGGAGCAGATCAGGGCACAACTTCAGTTGCATTACCAGCCAAGCTGGTAGATCCCATGTCTAAGGGAAGCTCGTTGCTATCCCTGGAGCTTGGGCCGCTGGGCAATCAGGTGCAGAAGGCACCATCATCCTTCATGCTGCCTGTACATCTGCAGAGTCACATCCCTACATACTGCTTTGCCACCCTTACATCTCTGCCACAAATCCTGGTGACGCAAGATCTGTCCAACACATCCGTTTGCCAGACGAACCAAAGTATCGTGCCAATCAGTGAAGAACTGAATTCCATGCCAAAATCACAAAAGGATCACCAAAACGCTTTGCCAAACCCAGAGAAAGACCTTGTTTGCAAAAATGTTTTCTCAGAAATTGGCCAACAGTCTTCTCTCTCAGAATCCTTGCCTCTAACTCAGAAAATGTCTGTTGGTAGACTTTCTCCCCAACCAGAATCTTCAGCCTCAAGCAAAAGGATGCTTTCTCCAGCAAACAGTTTAGACATTGCTATGGAAAAGCACCAGAAGCGGGCTAAAGATGAAAATGGAGCTGTTTGTGCCACAGATGTTATTTCCCCAGAGCCACTGAGTTCAAGAGTAAGTGAGGGCAATAAACCGAAGAAACCAGTGTTGGTGCGACAGCTTTGCACTACAGAGCCCTTTGAAGGAATGATATCAGAACAGGATGGGTTCTCTCAGTCTGAAACTAGTACCGAATCTGCTAATTTGGCAGAGGTTTTTCCAGCTGATAAATTGTCATCAGGACATGCCAAGATTGTAATCAGAGAATCCACCAATGAATTGCAAGAATTTGAAAACATCAAATCATCCACATCATTAAGTCTTCCAGATCAGAATCCTGTCCCTCCAGAAAACACCCACCACGTTTCTCCTTTGAAATCTGTCGATAGTAATCAAGAAAGGGCACCTTCAGGGGTTATAAATCAAGGGGACAAGGTGAGCATTTTAGGGCAAAATAAACTACCTGTCACCACTCTTCCATTGCCCAGCACAGGGGACACCCAGCAGCTGCCTCTCCCTAGCCTGAAGACTGCCACCAGCTTCACATGGTGTTATCTGCTAAGACAGAAGGCACTGCCTTTGCCCCAGAAGGACCAGAAAACTTCAGCCTATACTGACTGGACAGTAAGCTCCAATAACCCAAACCCACTTGGTTTGCCCACAAAAGTTGCTCTTTCTCTCCTTCATTCGAAACAGAAGACTGGCAAATCACTATATTGTCAGGCAATAACCACCCATCCCAAATCAGATTTATTGGTCTATTCAAGCAAGTGGAAAAGCAACTTAAATAAGGTACTTGAAATATAATGTGTTTTAAAATATTGTATGTGCAAATTAACTTAAATGTGTCTTGTTACCTTTAAACATTTTGCTTTAGAAGTATTTCAGTCTGAATGACAAATCATACTCTGTGTGTATAATTTATTAGGAAGGCAGGGGGTGTATTTACTCCCAAGAGTGAGTTATATAATAAGAATCGGAATTCCTTGCTGGGATTCACTCCCTCTGGACATATTTTAGAAATGTTACCTTCCTGTGAGCACTGTTTGCTTGTTTTTGTCTACTGTCTATGGTCTCTATTTAATGATACTATGATCCTTCTCCTAAGATGTTACATGAGAGAAGATTGTGGTTCTGCTGTGTCCTTGTTAGTGCAGGGAAATAGAGGTATGGAGAAGAGGTGGTCTTATTTTCATAGCTACAGTCAGAGAGCCAGTCACACTGGCCTGTGCCTACTGAGTGCTCTTGTCTTGGCCATGCTCATCCTAGCTTTTCTAGAGGATCTCTGCAAAACATTAGAACTACAGAGAAGAGTCACAAAAGGACTCATGACTTGATAAGTTGATCTGGTCAAGATTTATAGTATAGTTTAAGGTCATAAAAAGATAATTTTAATTTATAGAATTCACCTTACTATAATTATTGGCTTTATAAAATGGGAAAAACCAGTTAAGTGATTAAAAATAGAGGTATTGTGTTGGACTCTGGACGTCTAGAAGTACAGAGTAAATCTTGGGCCTCTGTAGGTCTAAGAAAATCTCTAACATTACTGGTAGACAGAGACATTTGTGGGTCCAGGAAGATAACTGTATAGCCATTATGGGGCTGGAACTCAGGGCCAGGGCACTGTCCCTAAGCTTTTCAGCTCAAGGCAAGTGCCCTACCACTTTGAGCCACAGCTCCACTTCTGGTTTTCTGGTGGTTAATTGGAAATAGAAATCTCACAGACTTTCCTGCCTTGGGCTGGCTTCAAACTGTGATCCACAGATCACAGCCTCCTGAGTAGCTAGGATTACAGGTGTGCCACCAATAATTTTTGGAGGGGTTGGGAGGTTGTGGGGCCTGAACTCTGGCCCTGGGTGCTGTCCCTCAGCTTTTCAGATCAAGGCTCTACCACTTGAGCCACAGTGCCACTTCTGGCATTTTCTTCTTATGTGGTGCTGAGAAATCAAACCCAGGGCCTCATGCATCCAAGGCAAGCACTCTACCACTGAGCCACCTTCCCGCCTATTTTTTGTAATTGAATAGACGACTAAATGACAGGAACATAGAAGAATCTTGAGTCATATAAAATACTACCAAGAGTCTGCAATGGCCTGATGGTTTTGTAAGCTTAAAACAGTATGACACTTTAAGTTGAAAGTGTAGATGAAACTCCAAACATATATATGTTGAAGGAAATCACTCAGACATTTGGGAGATTTATGTTTGATGTACTCTGACTCTAAATCTCCTCAATCAGAATCTTAGATGAAGTCTAATCATGACAATGTAAGCAAAGATTTATGTATATTCCTGTTGCACCATGAAAATGGTTCTTTTAGGCTGGGTATGGAACTCAAGTACAGCTTGTGTTTGAGTTCAACAGGTATGAGATCCTGAGTTCAATAACCAGAGCGCACACATACACATATACATGTGTGCTGTCGTTAAATACCAAGTATCTTGGAAGAGATGTATGGAAATACATGACTAGATTTGGGTCTCAAGAGTTTCAGGGAGAGAGGTCAAATGAATGCTCACTGGAGAAAGGAGTCTGTCAGCCAGTAGCTACGGAGTTGACTCTTATTCACAACAGAACATGAGCACATTTATGCTTCAAAAAATTGAAAAGAATGGCCAGATGTTCTAAGTAAAAGGAGAAGGAGAAACAAGGTATCAGCAACATAGGATACCATGGAGTAGCCAACCACATCAAGACTAAGAATATGATCATGACTTTGACATTTAACTCAATGATTATTTTGGCATAAAGGAGCTGTATTTCATAGCAGGAAACTGAGTTAAATATCAAGGATGACTTGATGTTGGAAGAAGATAAGGAATGAAATCAGGGAAAAATATGTGCATGATTATACCAAAAGAGATGATGAGTTCTTTTCCATCTTCAGCTCATATTCTCTTATGAAAAATATTTGAATTGTAGCAAAGGTAATTATGCATAAGAAAGAGTAAGTCCATTAAGCAAAGTTTGCGGCCTCCCAACCAGGACTTTTATTTGATATGTCAGGGACAATAGTGGGTAGGAAGAGATCAAGAAAAGGAAGTTTGAATCTGTTATTGCTTCGGGATTCATTTCATTAAATTAACTGTCTTCTCTGCAGTCTGCCATATTTTAATTTCCAATAAAACATTAGCATATTTGTGTTTTCAGTTTTATTAAATTAGTTCTTCTTTTTCCTTTTCAGAGAGCATTAGGTAATCAAAAGTCCACAATAGTTGAATTCAGCAATAAAGATGCCTCTGAAATTAACAATGAGCAAGATAAAGAAAATTCCTTAATCAAAAGTGAACCAAGAAGAATTAAAATATTTGATGGAGGGCAAGTACAAATTTTATTCTTAAATGTACATTTAAACTTACCTTTTAAATGTACATTTGCTTTCCTGGGAATGAAGACTTGTCAGTGCCAATTTTATGTAATGGTTGTAAAGTCTATCAGCTTACTAACAGAAATCTGTAAGGCAAAATACTTGTTATTAATTGATTATATAAGTAATTCCATTTTGATGGGAAAAAATTGTACCTAGGAAAGTCTGAAAGATAGCTAAAAACTAAGTTTTCAGAGTGAGCCCCTGGGTTTCCTGTTGATTTATGATAAGGAATAGCTTGGGGAAAAAAATCTGTTCTACAAGAGATGCATTTATTGCCTATATGCTATCCTTTTGCATTTAGTTCTGAGAAAAACAGTTTGTGAAAGCAAATTACAGTTATGGTGAAGCTCGGAAATACTTAAATACTTAACAGCTGTAGTGAATAAACTTAATAATGAAGAAAACTTTTAAACTAGTGTCTTAGAACAAAAGAAGAAAGTTTTAAATTAAACATCCTATTGAATAAGTTTAATTGGAATGTTAGAACATTAAGTGCTGATATGGAAAAGTGGTTTATTCTATTCTCTGTGTGTAAAGTTTTTGTAGATTGGGTATAAAAGTTGTATGTCATTGCTTTCAGTTGAATTTTATTATTTTCTCAAAGATATACTATCCAATATTCTTACTCATTTTTATCTTTAAATTAGTTATAAATCAAATGAAGAATATGTGTATGTTCGAGGCAGGGGAAGAGGAAAGTACATTTGTGAAGAATGTGGAATACGTTGTAAGAAGCCTAGCATGTTAAAAAAACATATCCGAACTCACACAGATGTTCGCCCCTACCACTGCACTTACTGTAACTTCTCCTTTAAGACAAAAGGTATGATATATACACAGGGCTGTGTGTTTCCTTGGGGAGATTTTACATATTCACTGGCCCAGAATGGAATAAATCCCATCCTGTCATTGTTCTGTTTTTATTTCTTTTTGTGATTCTAGACCTTTGGGAGAAAGAGGTTAATTATACATTATTAGAATATATAATACATGTAACATTTTAAAAGGAGCAGTTATGCCCTTTCTTGCTATTTTACTTCCCCAAATATAGTTGTATAACATGATGACTAAAATGTTTTCAAAAATATTTACTTTGTGGTTGAAAAAGAGAAGTTTTCATGACTCCTGCATAATTTATTTGGGTTTTAAAAGATTAAAGCGAGATTAAAAATAATAATTACAGTAAACTTTTATAATCATCACATGTTTTACCTATTTTTATCTATTTTTTTTACCCATTTCTGTTTTAATCATGCATTTTTTCTACCCAGAGAGTTAAATTTCAGCTTTAGAAAACTAATAACCCTTCTACTACTTAATGTTTAAAAGAGGTCTCTGAACTAGTCATTAAAAATACATTTAGCATCCTTTCTGTGTTCTTTCTGTTTTTATTGAAATCATAAACCTTTATTATAAATTCTATCCTGCACAAGTTTCTCACCATACATAATGAATGTTACTGTATAGTGCTTACCTCCTCCATTAGACTCTCTGTTCATGAATCACACTATATAGCAGTTTAAAATTTCTAAAGATTTGAATTTTGTATACTATGTCTAGGTTTCTCTTTAACAAAGCAGTATAATCATAGAAATGCCTGACTGGAAATGTCTATAAAAAAGAATCATATTTTTTAAATTTTATTTTATTGTAAAGATGCTGAACAAAAGAGTTACAGTTATATGAGTAAGGCAATGAGTACATTACTTGTCGGTCATTGTTACCCCTTCCCTTGTTTTTGTCCCACTTTCCCTCCACCCCCCCCCCCCACCTCCCATACTCCTCTCCACCCTCCCACCCCTGAAGTTCGTTTCTGATAATATTGTCTTGTGGGTATCGTTGTTGCAATGGGTGATCCTGTGTCCTTGTTTCAGCGTTTTGTTATTCCCCTTCCCCTCCCCAGGTTAGACAATTGTATATACAAGATGCAGAGCACCAAAATCAAGTACACTGACAACAGGGGATATACCATAGGGGGAAGAACATACAAAGGAAACAAAAAAAAATCACATAGGACATTTAAAATAGCATCAACAAAGACAGACTTCTTGTGTCCAGATCTTGGGGTTCATTTCATTTAGTATCTTCTTATATGGTCATATATATGTAACTTTTGAGCTTTTCAGCTCATCTGATAAGATTATCCTATACGTATACTAATTATTGCAAATAAAGGAAACCATGGGACCTAAATTTCTTTGGGACTATCTTACTTGACTTAATATGATTTTTTTTCCAAGTATTTCCATTTCCTAACAAATGGGGTGGTGCCATTCGTTCTGATGGAAGCAAAGAATTCCATTGTATATATTTACTATATTTTCTTGATCCACTCATCTACTGAGGGGCATTTAAGTTGGTTCCATATCTTAGCTATGGTGAATAATGCTATGAAGAATAATAATTTTTATAAAAACTATTTTTATTCTGAGTTACCATTTGCTTTTTTCTTTTGTTTTCTTCAGTTTTTTTTTTTATTTGACTTGCTCTTTAGCAAAATTTGCCACATTTTTGGCTATATGTTAACATTGAAGAAAGTTGTAATGAAAGAACTAAATATCTTCAAACTTCCTCTCTTCAAATGTCAGTGATATCTTTTTTTTTTTTTTGTCGGTAGTGGGGCCTGAACTCTGGGCCTGGGCTCTGTCCCTCAGTTCTTCAGCTCAAGGCTAGTGCTCTATCAGTTGAGCCTCAGCGCCAGTTCCAGCTTTTTCTGCTTATGTGGTGCTGAGGAATTGAACCCAGGGCCTCATGCATGCAAGGCAACCACTCTACCACTGAGCCACCTTTCCAGCCCAAATGTCAGTGATATCTGAGAAAAAAAATTATAGGAAGTGCTCTTCAGATAGCTTTGAATATTTCTGAAAAGTTTTAAGAAGTCAGAGGAGTTGGAAGAACAGTCACTTGGTAATTCTTTGATATTGATGTAGCATCACCTTGGAGACAGACTTCCCTATTTACTTCCCTAGTTTTCAGGGCAGCCTCTGGCAGTAACTAAAACCCAGTTTATTGATGGGTTTTCATCCTGTGATTTAAGAAGCATGTGTTAATTTCCACTATCAGACCAGGAGCATGTTTAAGGGGTTAACATTAATAATCAAAGATTACCTAGTACAGAATGATACTGCCAAACACAAGATAATCGAGGTACAATATTAAAGGAGTATTTTTCACTGGAAGGCAGAAACGGAAATGGCATTTTAGAAATCCTATACATAAAACAAGGGCAAGCAAGAAAGCAACAAGTGGGAAACCAAGTGAAAATTCAGAGGTGTTTTGTTTTGTTCTGGCAGGGAAAGATACTTAGTCCCCCGGTATTGACTTGAGCGCAATAAAGAATGTCATGCAGAATTTTAGAAGAATGTTTAAGCCACGGGCAGTACAGAAAGGGGCATTGTTAGTGGTTTTCATGACCTGTATTTCTTTAGTATGCTGGAGCAATGAACTCCAACAACTTTTCTGTTTTGTCCGATCAACCATTTGGAATTAGATGGTAAATATTTATTTCAGTAAGGCTATCTAGTTAGAGACTGGTCAATAAAATATCTTAAATTCATTATTGCCCTTTTCTCAGCATACTTCCTTTCTGAACTCTTCCTTTTGTCAGTCTACAAAAAGCAGATTCCAGAGTGCCTTTTAAAGGTAGTCAAAAATATGATTTTTTTTGTTTACTTAGGTGAAAGATGTTGCCCAACTCTCATCCTATTGTCTATCTAGTCTATTTCTTATTAATGTGTTGTAGTTAACAAGGAATATAGCAGTGCCACCGCATACTACATAAATACGTGTGCAAAGATAACATGATGCTATCAAAACAGTAATTTCTACCATGGAAAGTTGATGTTTCTGATGGCGATTCTTAGGGATCTTTAATCATTTGTGTTATTTATTTCACTAATACAATTTCAAAATGCTTTTACTTTTATGATATTGCTTTAAAGATTATAAGAGAAAAAATATGCAATGAACTTTCATCTTTGCAGAATATAGTCATATATACATAAAGTATGACTATATATGACTGCATATATATGACTACATATATATTACAGAAATTCAGAAAGAAGTACCCCATGCTTTCTGAGTGACTTAGATATTTTAATATATCTGGAAATTTATCTATTAACATATTAATACAGAAGTCTATAACATTGGAAGGGGATATTTATACTTTAAAATTATTTTCATAGTAAAATGTAAATTTTATTTTTACTTTTTAGGAAATTGATGAATATGAGCTCAAGTTATGAGCGAGGTTATGTATTAGAAACTTACATTCGTAAATTTTTTAAATTACAATTACACATTAACTTCTTAAAAATGGAAAATCTGTTACGGCTGTCTACAAAACAAAATCATTCTGAAAGAATATTAGTAGACCTTATAATTTGTTTTGTAATATTATTACACTGAAAGCATTTTGACTTACAAGTGGGAATCTCAGGTACATTAGAGTGCTGAACCCTTTTTACTACTTTGTAATATGAAGACTTTGAAGATCATACAGAGAAGAGATTATAATTAACATCTGTATACCTATCATCCTTGGTAACTTGACATTTGGCCAATCAGCTTTATATCTTGCCCTAAGAAAGTAAGATATAGTGTACATGCCAGTCATTGACAGTAAGCCAGGTGATACCCCCCAAATAACAGAAGTCAGAGTTTTGAGGGTGTTAGACATTCATGCAACTTTTTAACTTGAGATTAAACATTTAGCTTTGAGATCCTATGGGCTGCAAAATCATACAATCTAGAATTAATAATAGAAGTATGGCCACTTTTATAGTCTTGGTGTGTTTTTCAAGAAATGGCATCTTCATAACTGGGCTACTCTAAGCCCCAAATTTTTACCAATGACTCAGACAGTTTTAGGTCTTTTAAAGGCTCTTCTCCTATACTAATTTGTCTCTTGTATCAAATTCAGTATTTAGACTAAGGTAGACTATGCCCTTGTTGGCAGTGTGTTTGTGTGTGATCTATATACTCAAGGAGCTTGATATGCCTGGGGGAATCTGAGCTCTCCCTTCCACTCATGGTCAGTTGGTGCCAGTGTGCTCCTGGGCGTGCCCAGGGTGCACACAGAGATCCATATTAACATCTCCGCAGATACTACTAGGAGACGTCTAGTCTATATGTGAAGTGAAATGAATTTGGGAAATCCTTTTTCCTGTTCCACACACACAGAAGTACTGTTCATAATAGTTTGTCATAGTTGAGCTCAAAGTGTAAAATAAGACACCAGAAATAAAGAGAAATGTACAGCTACCATGATAAGCACATGCTTAGAAAGTTTAAAGTCTGTAAGGAAATCAAGGGCCAGTTTATGCCTACATACCTAGGATGGTTTTGGTTTTTTTTGTTAGTTGATGTTTTTGAGACACAGTCTATATATACTCAGTATTCTCTTGTTCATTGACTTTAGGCCAGGGGAAAAATAAACTGCCTGCTTAATAACAAAACCCTATACCAATGTGTGCAAAACAAGCAAATAAACAAAAACAAAAGTTATCTGAAACCAGCAAAACTGTTAAGGCACCAGGATAAAGCAACTGAATACCCACTGTAAGGTATTTCTACAGTGCATGGCCCATAAGACTCCTTGGGAAATAAATCTTGCTGAAGATTAGCTTCCAGTTAAAACTAAAAACTGCAAGGAAATTAATCACTCTAAGAGAAAGCCAACAGACAACTAGAGGAAGATTCGCACCTCACGAACTCGATCACAGTATAATCCGAACAGACTACACTTTCCATGTGTGTATACATAAGAAATAAGGAATGGTGAAAACAAGCCATATGCAGAATTAGACACTGTCAAATTTGTAAAAGGTTAAATTTGTAAAAGGTCACTATTTCTAACAAATAGCAAAGTTATTACAACTGATTCTTACCAGTATTTTTTTAAAATCCAAACGTTTGTCTTTGGAGTTGTTTAAATTTTCCATTGTTGACAAAATGTTACCTAAGCTTAATGGACATTCTTTTACCTTAAGGAAATCTGACAAAACACATGAAGTCCAAGGCACATAGCAAGAAATGTGTGGATTTAGGTGTCTCGGTGGCTTTAATAGATGAACAGGACACAGAAGAATCAGGTAAGGCTTTGTACCAGATTTTTCGTAAATGCTATTTGCAATATCCTGGGTTTTTGCATCCACGCACTCTATCCCCACTGGTACTGCTTAATTCCTGTTTCCATTACTCCTCATTTATATGGGTGACAAACTCTCCCCTTCAGTTTTCCCATCTCAGTTTTTTTTCTTCCCTCATTTTATCTGTCCACACTGATGTTAATCTTTCTGACACACGTGTCTCATCACCCTGCACTTCTGACTAAAGTTTTTCATCGGTTCCCATTGCCTCCAAATAAATAATCAGAATCCTTTATAACTTGCTGCCTACCTGCTTCTTCATGCTTTCCATCTCTCTCTCTAGCCCACACTTATGCTTGAATTTCCTGGTATGTGACATCGATCTCATTCTCCACAGCCTCTCCCTCACAGCCTCTCTTTTACCTGTCCTTGTTCTTCATGTGTGTCTTCCCCGTCTGACCTGGTCACAATCCCTCCACCCCCTCTCTGAAGCCTCCTCTGATTTTCCCTTGAGGGAAGCATTTTCCCTCATTAAGACTCCGTAGTGCTTTCATGTGTCTTCTCTGAAAGACTTCAAACCCTATTTTAGTACATGGCCTCAAACCTCAAATGTCCAATGAGACATGTGGAATATGATGTGCTTGCCTCTCAGAAACAATTATTACTTTGGAAAAGTTAACTGGCTGAATTTTCTCTTTTTTTTGTAAACAATGTTAACAAATGTAAGTATTTATCTCTGATCAATGTGGAGGCGAAATAAATTTGGTCATCTGATCTAACTAATCAGAAAGTTGAAATATCCTTTAACCCCAAGAACAATCAGCAGAAGAGAAAAAATCTTTATAAGAGAAAAAAAGTATCCTACTGATTTTTATTAAAAGACTCTAGATACTTCTTGCTACCTTTTTACTTAATTTGTATTAGCTTGCTATGCAGAAGATATCCAAAAGAAAGCGATAAGGACACCATTGAAAACACAGGTTGAAGTGTCAACTTGTTTTGTCCCACAGCCTCTAGTAACACAGTAAATGAATCCACCTGAATTGATTTCTCAGCGTGGAAGAGAAGTGACTCCTAAGTTAGATAGTGAGAGCAATTCAGATGTAAGAAGCTAGAGAAAGTATATAAGACTTTTAGCACTGACCAGAACAGGTTACAATATGAAACTGGTGTCTGAAAAATGTGAAACTGTAAAAAATGGTGCTATAACAATCTGTATTTAATGTCACTGAGTCTTAGGAACATTGACTAGCATGTGTAGAATCCTCAATACTGTTAAGGTAAAGTAGTACTTCATCCTAAATTTGCAGAGAAGCAAATACACTTTGAACTAACTAGCATGCAGTGTTTTGATTGACAGTTGACTGACTGACTTAAATATATGTCCACTCAGGTTTGTATTTTTGGTAATACTCGAAAATCAGTGCAAGATGATCTGGGGTTATAAGTCAAAGTTGATAGCCTGGCTCCAGATTAAGATCAGACATTCTGGTAAAACAAGGTTCTTATACCTTTTTGTTTTGTTTTGTTTTCAGTTTAAGTTACTGTATTTATGGAAAGTGTGATCAGTTTCTTCCAGAGATTTTAATTGAATATAGTAAAGCGTAATATCCAAGTGCTAAATCTTTACTAAATGCCATGTCATAAGAGACTTAAAAATTGTCATTGCTATGCCAACAAAACATATTCCTCTCCTTTATTACAAGTTTGCAGTGTAGGTGTAAATATAGTAAGCTGTGGTTTTAGACAAGTGCTGGTGTTCTTTTATTCTCTTTTATGCTTTAGAAAATACTGTAAAGACTTCTTTACATACAAGAAGAGTATAGAGGATTTCAGTGCATGTATATTCATGTGTTCATACCAGCTGATAGTTATAAATATTTTGTCATATTTGCTTCAAGTCCTTGTCAAAAACTCAGTGCATTACACACACACACACACACACACACACACACACACACACACGCACACACACACACACACACACACACACACTGCACCTCAGAGGCACTTAGGGGTCCCCCTTCAGCCCATGTAATTTAAATGTATGTGTCTGTGGACACTGTTGTTTTGTTTTTTTTTTTAAGTTTGCATAAACAGAGCCACTTAGTATGTAGATCCATAGAAACTTGATTTCACTTTTTATATTCTTTTTCTAGAAGTGGTTTGCTGCTTGCCATCTCATTGCCAGAATTTAAGTTTTGGCCAATTTGGTGGGTGCTAATTGTTATTTGTATCTGTATTTCTGTAGCTACTTTCTTTCAGAAGGACTTTTGTTCCCTCAAATTGATGATAGTTAGAGATGGGATAGAAGATAGATGGTTAGCCGTTTTTCAGATGGCCCATGTTTGGGGAATGGGGAGCCCAGATACCTGTAGAATGATGTCGGGTGTGGAATGGAGGCATGTGTTTTGAAGGTCCGGCATGTCTGGAAGGTGTGCTGGTTTTGAGCTTATGTCTCTCTCTGGCTCCACCATCACCTCAGCCTTGACACATGAGCCCAGGCTGTGGTCTGTGTTCCTGCCGTGTATCCCAGTCTTCAGAGAGAGAACTCCATTTAAGTACACAGAGTCTCCCCCCGCCCTTGCCCCCACTCCAGGCTTGCCTACTCACCATCTCTGCTTGGCCGTCTAAAACTGACTTTCAAGGTTGGCATGCCCTGAACTCCTGCTTCACCCCTTATCTCTGTCTTCTCCCAAAGTACCAGCTGATTGGCCCAAAGTCTTGTTGCCCGCCTTACGTATCAGTAAGCTATCTCAGATCTTCCTTCAGAATGCCATTAGAAGCCTACCCCTGCCCCAGGCAGAGCTCCCATTGTCTCTAGTTAGTTTCCAGTAGCTCCTGACTGGGAACCCTGGGTTCAGCACTGACCCATTGCTACTGTTAACAACACAGCAGCCACAGTAATCATTCAGCGGTTCTATCAGTTCTTTGCACCCACCTTGCTGGTACTTTCTTGTCTCTCAGGCCCTGGCCCATCACACTCCAGCTCTCTTGGCTCCTCACCCTTCTACCACCATTTCATCTTCCCACCACCATCACTCCACTCAGCCACCCTGCAAGCCCAGCCCTGCTTCCCATGATTCAGAAACCCCCTCCAACCACCATAGGATTCATGGCTTACGCCTGCAGCTCTGCTCAAAGGACCCCTTCACAGGGCAGCTGGCCCGAACTACGTCCCAGTATACTGAAGAAAGAAGCACTCTACTCTCTTACGGCCAATGCTACTCATGTCCCTTATTCTGTTTGATGTACCCTCATTACATAGATTTTTACCCACTCTGTGTGTATGTATGTGTGTGTTCACTGCCACTTATTCTCGTTCAAACAAGTAGAATATAAATTATGTAAAGGTGGATTTTTTTTGTGGTTGATCATTCTTTTTAGCATTGTATCTAGCAAATAATCAGTAGTGAACTGTTATTGATGGGATGAATGCAAGGAAAAAATGCCATATAAGACTTAAGGAAATAATTTAATACTAGTGTTCTTAGAAACTGATTTATTGATTTCTCATTACATTTCTTTAAAATTGGATGGTGGCTACAATACACTAACACCTTCCCCTGTAAGTAGTGGTTGTGTTGTAGATATTATAGTAGTGTTTGTCTTCATAGATATTAACATCATGATGATGTTTGTTTATTAATTTGTTGTTTATTGACCAGTAGGTCAGAAGACCAGAAGATGGCTTGCCTATTCCATTTTCTCATCTTTGATGATAATCTCTCCAGATTGATTAAAGACTTGGCTATTTTTCAGAAATTCCAGAGAAGAAAAGTTTATTCTCTTTTTGATCGATTAACATGTTTCTTTTACACATAGACAAGTTTTGGGTCTGTGCACGCTTTTATACCTGATGATTTTATTTTTCTCAAATGTTCAGAGCCATGGAGACAAGAGATCACAGTGCTCTTCATCTTCAACCCTGGAACTTTAATTTGTTGTTGCTGTCATTTTATTTCATAGTGGGAATTTACATTTTAAAAAATGGCTCAAATATAGATGATTTCATTAAGTGCACAATCCCACAGTAATGATCATTTAAAGTATAACTGGATTTACTTCAGAGCAGACTCTGTCTGGATCGGTCAATATTTCCATACACAAAGCACCCGGGGCTCCATGAGCTCTCATTCCCCACCAGGTGGAGTTTAGCCATTTGATTGTGATGTCTGATACAATTTTCTCTTCTGACAGCTAGTTTTGCAGGTATGTGTATAAATGTATAAAGACTCCTTTGGAAATTTGCTCTTTTTTTCCCTTTATAATAAATTCTGTTCTGACCCAGAATTGCTGTGTTTATAAACTTTTCCCACACAGTAGACTGTAGTGAAAGGTAATAATACCTTGACTTTAATGTCTCTGGGTTTATTTTAAAATCTTGCTCTGTAAACTCCATAAGGCTGTCATTAACAGTGAATAATTTAGTGTTTTCTTTTACTATCAAATTTATGTCCTGAAGAAAAGTTATGAATTGTTAGCTATATTTAAAGAGTATATGAAGTGCTGACTTAAAAAATGTAAAGATGAATACATATTTTAGGTGCTATAGTTTTAAGTTTTGAAGCACACCTCTACTGGTAGAGTCAAAAAGGAGCCCAAAGTGGTCAGTGCCCAGTGGTTTTAAATGCTTGCTTCCCCTGGCATACTGGCATTTCTCCTCTGTCCTGGTCACTGGGGATAACCTCCCCCCCACCCCCACCCAGCAGCCACAGGACCCTCTTGGTCATATCATGGCTTTCTAAACAAGTCCAAATCTCTTTAAATATATTCATATTTAGTTATTTCTTGATGTCTGTCTCGTTTTGTTTTTCACCAAAGTATTCTCTAGCTTTCCATCAACTTCACGTTAGTCTCTTTCCAGCATTACTTTCCATCTTCGCGTTTTCTAAGCACCTTGAATCTGTTCTCTCTTCTGCCAGTGGCATTGCCCATAGGTCATTCATCAGCTTAAAGTGCACGTGCCCAGTTGAGTGCCGATAGATGTGTGTGGGCATGGT